TTTTCTTTTTTTTTTTTTTGCAGTTTTTTTGGTTTGATTTGAACACAAATAAAACACACATGCAAGCCATCTACTCATTTTCTTCGCTGGGTAGCCTGGCGTTGGGATTGGTGACAATGATGGCCAGCCGTGCTGGTCTTTCAATGACGGCTTTTTAGTTCTTGGAGGAAACGTTGTGAGCAGTCTCAGCACAGTGAGATTGGTTGCACATCAACAGCACTTCCAGCTCCTTGACATTGTGGACTAGAAACTCTGGAAGCTGCTAGGCAGCATGTGCTTGGTTTTCTTGTTGCTCTGTAATCAATGTTAGGCATTAGAATCTGGCCTTGAATCTTCTCCGCGTGCTGTTGTCGATACCTCTGGGTTTCTGCCAGTTTCGCTTAATTTTGACATATCGGTCTGACTGGTGCTGGATGAACTTCTTGGTCCTCTTTTTAACAATCTTGGGCTTCACCAGAGGCGGGAGGGCAGCCATGATGCCTCTAAATGGATGGCAGCCATCTCACAGGAAGGGCTGAGGAAGAAGGAAGGGGCGGTAGCATGCTCAAGGGATGACGGGACGGGTACACTTTCAAATGCTCTCTGGTGCTGATCCACAGTCTTTTGGATGGAGGATTGCAACAGTAGTTCTGTGCTTAGAGCTTAGTTCCTAGAGAGAAGAGTTTGTGCCTGTGCTTACATGTCCAGAGTATTGCATTTAAAACTGACTCAGACCTGTTAAAATGAAGGAAACACAGTGAAGAGAAACATTGGTTTGGTCCTGGAGTTTGTATGAATTGTATAAATTGTACTTGAATCAGAAGGTTCAAGGACTGAGAAGAGTGGCATTCAATTGCACTTTCTACAGGAAGAAATCCGACTTCAAGGTGATAAGAAATTATTTTTAATATTCCTGTGGTAGTAGGGTCTCAGTAAGGTGAAAGTGCCTAGGATTTCCAGGATCACCCTCCCGAGACCCAGAAGAGAGAGGAGGAAGAGCCTAAGGGTCAGAGGGAGGAAGGAGGCTGACCAGTGCCAGAGACCATAGTGCCCAGGAGAACAGGACAGGGAGGGACCTAAGGCGGCGGGCAAGGCCCACAGTCTGCTCACCTCTAGGAAGTGGGAACAGTGGCTGGCAGGCACCATCTGGCTGATCTAAGGGAGCCAAGGGCACTGCGCCTGCACAACTCAGCTTTGGGTACAAGGGACTTCTTAGGACCATGGGCCAAGGGATTCCAGTCCTGCTTCTGCTGGATCCAAAAAGCTCTTTTCTGCCTAGCTGGAGATTTCAACTCCTCTTGAGCAAGGAAATGCTGCTTCAACTTGCCTCCCTAGCTACACACACACACCCCTCCCCCAGTTCTCTCTTCTTAGGATGGCAACACCCAGCATGTCAGTCTATGGCTTTTCCTCTATTCTGACACACGTGGTGACTCATGGGTGCTGCAAAACTCTCCACTTCTCCCTGCTTCCCCCATCCAAACTTTGCGGGTGGAGGGAGCATTAACATTGCCCGCTTAGCCCTCACCCTCCAAAGGGGCACCCAGCTCCTTCCTGTCTCTAGGCTTGCAAGCCATAGGAACCAGCCATTGCTTCTTCTTATCTGAAAACCCCAGCATGCTTCCACCTACAGTCCCTCCTTGACAGACTAGATCAATGCAAGTGCTGAAGTCTCAGCCCTTGTAACATGTCAAGTCGGTCTCTACCCACTCCTGATCTTGTTGACTTGTGACTTTTTCTTACAGCACCTCCACATCTGTCTCACTCCGGAGTTACTTTTTTTTTTTTTTTTTTTAAATAGTGATTCTATTTTCACAGAGTTACAAACTGCTTCTCTAGTTTCCTCTGCCAAAGAGCCTTCAGACACACCTTTTTCACTTACCCTTCTCACTCTGGGAGCACACCTGAAGACAGATTCAAAGTTCCCCTTCCCCGAACAATGCCTCTTCCCCGGCAGGCTGCCTCCACCCAACTGCAAAGCAGCTTTCAACCAAAGGGACAATAAAATAAAATAAAATAAAATTAAATTAAATTAAATTAAATTAAAAGATAAACTGAGCAAACTGGCTTCCAGCTGCAACTTTCCTTTACAGGAAAACTCTTACCAAATGCCTGCACGGTCTGCAGGGATCTGGGTGTCACTATTTTGCCTCTCTCAATGGTTAAATGTACTCGTGTGATTTCAGTGTGTGGTCATTTTATGTATATAATGGTGCTAATTGTCATCTGTGCTCATAAATGGTATTTGTGCTCTTGTGAGATTTTTTTCTATCAAAAGTAGTTAGTCCACTAAGGCCCAGTATTCCATAACCAACCCCATTTTCCCTCACCTAAAGTTAAAATATTTTAATCTTCCTCAAGATGGTGGTTTGAAAGAAAATGGCCCCCAAAGGGAGTGGCACTGTTAGGAGGTGTGGCCTTACTGAAGTAGGTGTGGCTTTGTTGGAGGAGATGTGTCACTGTGGAGGGTGGGCTTTGAGACCTCTTATGCTCAAGCTTCACCCAGTGTCACAGTTCACTTCCTGTTGCCTGCAGATCAAGATGCAGATCTTTCAGCTCCTTCTCCAGCACCATATCTGCCTGCATACCGCCATGTCCTACCATGAAGATAATGAACTAAACCTCTGAAACTGCAAGCTACCCCCAACGAAATGTTTTCCTTTATAAGAGTTGCTGTGGTCACAGTATCTCTTCACAGCAATAGAAACCCTAACTAAGACACACATCTTGTAAAACTTTTATCCACTAGTTTGGCAAATGAACTGTGGACCAATAGCTGAGGAGCCCCCCATGGTACTGGACTAGGCCCTCTGGATAAGTGAGACAGTTGTTTAGCTTGAACTGTTTAGGGGGCCCCCAGGCTGTGGGATTGGGACCTGT